TAGATAAGGTTTTATTAAAACAGATAAGGTTTTATTAAAACAGATAAAGGTTTTATTAAAGCAGATAAAGGTTTTATTAAACAGAATAAGGTTTTATTAAAGCAGATAAAGGTTTTATTAAAACAGATAAAGGATTTATTCAAGCAGATAAAAGGTTTGATTAAAACAGATCAAGGTTTTATTAAAACAGGTTTTATTAAAACAGATCAAGGTTTTATTAAAATAGATCAAGGTTTTATTAAAATAGATAAGGTTTTATTAAAACAGATCAAGGTTTTATTAAAACAGGTTTATTAAAACAGATCAAGGTTTTATTAAAATAGATCAAGGTTTTATTAAAACAGAAAGGTTTTATTAAAACAGAAAGGTTTTATTAAAACAGAAAGGTTTTATTAAAACAGAAAGGTTTTATTAAAACAGATCAAGGTTTTATTAAAACAGATAAAGTTTTTATAAAAACAGATAAAGTTTTTATTAAAAAAGATCAAGGTTTTATTAAAACAGGTTTTATTAAAACAGATCAAGGTTTTATTAAAACAGATCAAGGTTTTATTAAAACAGGTTTTATTAAAACAGATAAAGGATTTATTAAAACAGATAAGGTTTTATTAAAACAGATAAAGGTTTTATTCAAACAGATAAAGGTTTTATCCCCGAGGGACCAACAGGACCTATTTAGAGTACGTGCAGGGCTTTAGGTGTGGTTCTGGGTTCTTTTGGGACCTCCTGGGTGAGTCGTTGATCAGGTCTTATGGTAACCTTGAAGGTTCACCACTGATCCTTGTTTCCTGCTGAAGTGATTTCTTAACTCTACAGGTCTGGCAGAGATCAGGTCTGGGCGAGGCGGTGAAACTGAACTCAGGTTTCCAAAAACCAACAGTTATTCACGACGTAACAAGACGGACGGTTATTTTCCCTCACAGGGTTCGGTTGGTTCAGTTTTAGTTTTGATCCTTTAATAAATGGAATCATTAATTTAAAACTGTATTTTCTTCTGTCTGATGATCTGAAACATGAACGTGTGACAAACAAATCAGGAGAAGGAACCTGTAGGAGGGGTTGAGGACTTTGTCACAGCTCTTTGTCTTGAAGGACATGTCCTCAGAGACCTTGTTGTGCCTTGGACAGAGTGACCCCCAGCAGCTCAACTCACCTGATGGAGTATAGCACGTTCCCATTCTTGAATATCCGGAGGAGTTTGTTGTCCGTGGTGACTTCGTGGAAGTGGGCTCCCTTCTCGTTGGCGAAGAACAGGTCGGGTTTCCAAATGGAGTCCAGCATGGAGGGGTCCAGGTCCAGAGAGTCGTCCGGGTACTCTGCGTAGGCCAGTCTGGGGTCGTTCCACTGCTGCCGGAGGAAGATGTTCACCCGGTAGTCCTGCAGCAGAGGAGCAGACGGACAGTGTCATACTGAATAACAGGAAGGGGCGGAGTCAGCCCAACAGAACGGCAGAAACCGTTAAGAACTGAGCTCATTCAACTTTATGAACGACTTCAAAGTTAGAAACCATTAATAACCACATTCAGAACGTTAAACATCCTTCGACAAAATGTTATACAGTAGGCTGTGGGCGTAAAATAAAAACTAATCAACCAAACGGCTCCGTAATTCCAACACGTTCTTCATGAAAACACGAAGAAACCCAATCAGAAATCATGAGTTCAGGGAATAAAACATAAAGAATCACAAACCCTCCATAGACGCCCACCAGGTGGTAAAGCCCAGTCCTGTTTGGACCTACAGACCACAACAGAACCAACACTCACTGGTGAAACGGGTCAGAGACAGCTGGACTTCCCATGACTGCACTGCTGTTTTCAGAACTTTAGCTGTTGTTAAAGGAAGTTAAAATAAAAACTAAATGACCTCGGCTGACCTGCATCGACATGCCGACTCGTCAGAATAAAAGCATCATCTGGGACAGTGGACTCTGGTTCTTGGACAGCGGTCTCATCGTCCTCACACCACAGAGGACTCCCAGGATGCACTGGGCCATCAGCCAGCACCTCAGCTCGCCACGCTCACTAACTGAAAGCGACATCAGCGCTCTTCCACCTCGCTGACCACCGACTGATCCGAGCCCGCAGAGCTCAGACGGGTCGTGGTTCTGATGAGGAGCGATGTTTTGTTGACAAACTGAAAATAGATTTTTATTTTCTTCATGTCTGAACGCCGAGTCAGCCTTTTTCTGTTTATAATTTTCTGTTTATAATTTCAGCTAAAATCAACTTTTTAGCCCTTCAGTCATCGGCGCCTTTTAGTTTTATTAATGTTTTAAAATAATTCATTTTGTTTACAAATGTTGTTTACATTCTAAACATCAGAATTCCTTCAGAAAATTAATTCTGTAAAACCTGCTCAGCTGTTTTCTCTTCTCCAGTTCATTTTAGCTTCATTCTGTAGTTTAGCCAATTTAAGCTAGTTTCAGAAATGTTTGCTTTGAGCTGTGGTTTCACTACATCTGGGTTTTAGCACCTCTTTTGTTAATTGTAGCTTTAGCTATGTTTAAGTTCATGTTAGCTTTTGGCTTCTATGTTGCTATTTTTGCTTTAAGCCATTGTTTTGCTAGTTTTAGCTTTGAGCTAGTTTTTATTTTAGCTTTTAGCTGTTTTTTTCCAATTGTAGCTTCTTATTTTAACTTTAGACTTTGGCTTTGCTCATTTTGGCTTGTAGTTACAGTTTAGCTTTTTATTGTAACTTTAAGCAACAATTTTGCTAGTTTTAGTTTTTAGCTGTCGTTTTGTATTTTTAGGTATTTTTAGTTTTATTTTTAGCTATGGTTTTGTTCAGTTTAGCTCGTAGTTACAGTTTTCAATTTTTTGTTTATAGCCACTGTTTTCCTAGTTTCATCTTTTAGCTGCAGTTTTTTTTATTATAGCTTTTAGCTGTAGTTTATCTAATTGTAGCCTTTTATTTTAACTTTAGACTACAGTTTTGTTCATTTTAGCTTGTAACAACAGTTTAGCTAGATTTAGTTTATTAATGTAACTTTAAGCAACAGTTTAGCTAGTTTTAGCTTTTAGCTGTTTTTTCTTGTAGTTTTTTCATTTTATGCTATGGTTTTGTTCATTTTAGCTTGTAGCTACAGTTTAGCTAAGTTTAGTTTTTTATTGTAAATTTAAGTGACAGTTACTTTTAGCTGAGTTTTTTCTAATTGTAGGGTTTTTTTCATTTTAAGCTACAGTTTTATTCAGTTTAACTTGTAGCTACAGTTTTTCTTTTTTTGTTTTTCTTTTTAGCAACTGTTTTAGCCACTGTCATCTTTTAGTTACAGTTGTTATTTATATTTTAGCTTTCTAATTTAATATTTGGTTTAGCTAATTTTAACTTGCAGCTGTGGTTTTGCTAGTTTTTGCTTGTAGCCATAGTTTGGCCAAAATAGGCTTTAAGCACCAGTTTAATAGTTAATTCAATCTTTAAAAAATTTCAGCAGTCTTAGCTGTTGTAGCAGAAAATCTGGTGAAAATAAAAGCAGTCTCTGTTTTTATGAAGCAGTTTAGTTTGAAAGTTGTGTTTTAATTTGAAAGGGTTTCCTCTGCAGGAAGCCTACAGTCACTTTTCTCCTCAGACTCTCGTTTGTTCGTGTCAACCCGCTGCAGTCCATCTTTACAGCAGATCTAACGTTCCTCTGTCCATGTTACAACTAACTTGCGCTCGCTGAGGCAGAACGCCGTACGGTAATTCATCGTCGGCCTCAGGTGATCCAGAGAACTGGTCCAGATGGGATCCATGATGGCAGGTAGATTAGCTGAAGGTTCAGATGTTCAGCTGTTTCTAATTACTTGTTCCTTCAGCGTCTGAAGCTGCAGCTTCTCTCACTCAATTTTAAATGTTTTATACAAATAATTTTATATTTCTGTATAGGTGATAAAGAAAAGGAAAAACATCAGAAATAAAACTGTTTAAAACGTTTTTAGTTTGATTAATTTGGGACGAAGCTGAAGCTTTCTGAAGGCTGCCGGTGGAGCGGCGCCTCAATAAACCAACAGAACTTTAAGAAGTTTGACAAAATGGCCGACATTTTAATGTCTAAACTGTACGAAAACCTGCTGCCAAGGGCTCATTACAGTCGCCATGGTAACCACACACCTGAGCCTGTCACTTCTGTCTGCCAAGCTTATGACAGACAGGCAGAACCACAGAGTAAAAAGTAAGCCTCGGGCAAACAGACCGAGTGAAAACTAGAAGTCTGATCAAAGAACATCCTGAAGGTTCTGATGGAACCACAGGTTCTGTTTGATGGAGAAGTTCAAGAGAGCCTTCACTTCCTGTTTGGAAGCTAATAGAAGTCAACGGGAGTTTGGATGTGTGACCTCTGACCTCTGCGAGGACACCATCAGCCCTGCAGCAGAGACACTCTGAGGAGATGGAGACAGAAGGACTGAAGATCAGAGGAGGCAACTGTTGGATTTCATGGCAGAGGTTCTGTAAAGTTCAGACTGCAGAACGTTCTTTGGTCCTCCATGTCCAGCTGTGTTTGTGTAGAACAAGTTAAAAGACGAGAAAACAGCTGCTAAAGTCCAACGTCCTGTGACCCGTTTGAAGTCTGAGTGATGGGTCTGCTGAGAAGCTGCAGGTCCAAACAGGAAGCTGCAGAAGAGTAAAAGCAGAACTTCAAGGGTTCTGACGTTGAAAGGATCAAATATTACTTGGGACTCCAAAGTGAAGCCAGATTTCTGTAAAATAAAAACCTGATTTATTTTGTTGTTTTTATTGCATCTCTGAGACAAGAAGAACCATGAGGGAGGGTTCTGCCTCTCCACCGAGGGTTTAAATCTGGCTCGCTCCGTCTCATCCAGATCCTCCACAAACAGACTGAGTGCAGGGAGGCTGTGCTGTGACGGTCCGGGCCCCCTGACCCCCCAGCCCACAGTCCGGTTGTTGCTCTGCACCTGTGTGTTCCTCCTGCCTCAGCTCATCAGCTTCCGTCCCGTCGGCTCCTCTGCTCTCAGATGTTTGTTCGTCACGTTTTGTTCTCTGCAGATGTCAGCTCGTTTCTGAGCTGCAGCGGCGCTCCGGGCCTCTATCAGCTGCAGCTGCAAACAGCTGGGAGCTCCCAGGCCAGGAACCGCTCCGAGACGCTTCAAAGCTCAGCGAGACCGAAGAGAACAACGGTGCAAAAAGTTTCCATCTGATCCGCTTTGCATCCATTCAGAGGAGAACAGCAGAAAAATCAGATTTTTATGGTGATTATTCCTGTTTGCCAGTCGGATCTGAGGGCTGTTGGTTCTCTAAATGAGTGGTTCCCAGCACTGGTTCTTGAGGAACACCAACCTGAGTATTTTAGTTGTTTCCTGCTTTGACACACCTGATTTGAATGAGTGGGTGATTAACAGGCCAAACTTCAGGAAGTAATTAAATCACTGAATCAGGTGTGTTGGAGCGGAGAAACAACTAAAACATGCAGGATGGTGTTCCTCAAGGACCAGGGTTCGGAACCATTAAAATAAACTAGTCTTATAAGGTAAAAACAGACGCTGTCGAGTTTGAAAACCTGAACGTGGTGGTTCTAGAAGTTCCTCAGCTGAAGACGAGCATCCTGGACGAGGTCAGAGGTCACCTGGGTCTGTCAGAGACCCTAAATGATCTGAGCTGGCGCATCAACACGTTCCTGACAACAACATGATCGCCCACCTGCTGGTGGCTCCTGTGAGGCTGATTCCTGGTCACATGACGTTAAGACTCCGTTTGACTGGCTGGAAATCAGAACAGATGAGGGCTGCTGGTGACCTCTGACCTCTTTGATCTCTGAGAGGTTCTACGGGTCAGCCAGGAACCCATCAGGCCCAGAACCTCACGTGTTCTGTGAGCAACCTGAGCTGGCATATTTTTGTCAGCAAACATTTTGGGAAATGGTTCAAACGTTTGGTGAAGGTCAATAATTCAAAGTTTGAAGGTCAAAGGTCAGTCGAACCTGAGGCTGGAACGACTGAAGGTTTTATTAAAACTGTTGGAGGAGTGGACTGAAAGCTGTGACAGAAACAGAACCACAGCAGGCGAGCAGAACCTCATGGTGCTGCAGGAAAACAAACATCTCTTCAGAACCTCCCTGTCTCAGTCGGTCTCCCTCCGTCTTTGTCGGCGCTCGTTGTCTTCGTCTCACGTTTGTCTTTTAGTAGCCGACACTCCATAAACGACCCGTTTCAATGACCCGTGTTTGACTCCTCTGCTCTGGTTCCTGACGGACAGAGACAGCCGTCCAACGTCCTGCAGGACAGGAAGTGACTGTCTCAGCAGGACGTGGGTGAAACCTGGAGGAAGTCCCAGGAACATGTGAATAATTTGGTTTAATGTGGCAGAGCAGCTCCTGGTTCTGTTGGATAATTATTGATGTCGGAGCAGCCCGGACCACTCGGTGACACTTTGCTGTCAGAACCGGTAAACGTCTTCGCTGCTCGTCTGCTATTCCTGTCCGCTCGTCTGTCTCCTCTGATCTCTGTCTCCGTCTGCCTCCTCCATCGTTAGCTGCTCTCCGCTTCAGCTTCACTGATTCAGAGGACCAGAACCGGCCCTGGAACCCAGCTGCAGCTGGATCAGTGTTTTAAATGGACTGTAGGAATCTGGTCCGACTCAGGCGACCTCTGACCTCGTCCTGGTTATCTTGTAAACAGTTTTCAAAATAAAACACCCCCTGCAGCATTTAAACAGAACCGTGAACCAATTTCAAATTCAGAGCTTTTACACGTGAACCAGATTTATTAATTTAACTGATCTGGGAATGAAGCCAGCGTCCATTTTTAGAGTCTTTGAGGTGACACGAGTGAGTGACAGGTGTCTCATGAATCACCGTCAGGTTTCAAGTCAACTCTGCAACTCGTTTGATGTTTCACAACAAATGTTCCTCCAGAAGAGGCTGCTGGACTCACCTGACCCGAACATCGCTGCTGCATTTAAAGAAACAACAGAAGTTCTGTGGGCCGGCCTGATGTCAGACACACGGACACTTGGTTCTGTGGGCTGGCCCAGTGTCAGACACTCGATTCTGTGGGCCGGCCCGGTGTCAGATACTCTGTTCTCTGGCCCGACCCAGTGTCAGACACACGGACACTTGGTTCAGAGGGCTGGCCCGGTGTCAGACACTCGATTCTGTGGGCCGAACCAGTGTCAGACATGGCCCGGTGTCAGACACTTGGTTCTGTGGGCCGGCCCAGTGTCAGACACTCGATTCTGTGGGCCGAACCAGTGTCAGACACTCGGTTCTGTTGGCCGGCCCAGTGTCAGACACTCGGTTCTTTGGGCCGGCCCAGTGTCAGACACACGGACACTTGGTTCAGAGGGCTGACCCGGTGTCAGACACTCGGTTCTGTGGGCCGACCTGGTGTCAGACACTCGGTTCTGTGTGCCCGGCCCGGTGTCAGACACGAGGAATTTCAGAGGTTCTGCTCTCAGGCGTCTTTGACCCGATATGATCAGAAACTTGACTCAGGAATGTTTCTGTTTTTGTTCTGACATTTGGACCAAACCTCCAGAACCCACAGACCCGGTTCGTCTCTCTGGGTCCAGTTTCTCTTCAGCATTTTACATTTTTATAAATTCAAGTCTAGATTTAAAACTTTTGTTTTGAAGCAGCAGAACCCGGGCTGTTGGTTCAACATCAGGTGTTCTTCTTCCCTCATGTTCCGGTTCCTGAATTAAACCAGAACCTCGCCCTGTCCGTCGATCCGGAGTGTTCTGATCCGACAGAACGTTTGTCCGGATACACTGTGAACAGAACCAGCTGCAGAACGCCTCTTGGAGCGACGAGCTCAGAACGTGTAGCAGGCATTAAAGACAAAAGCTTTAATTTGAAAGGTTTCCTGGCAGGAAGTGGCTCTCACCATGGTGGTTTCAGCGATGGAGCCGAAGCTGTTGATGAAGATGTTGCAGGAAACATTGACCGGAGGACCTGCAGAACCAAACACATGAATCAGAACCGCACAACAAGTGAAAAGATACCTGGGTAAAACAAGATGTGGGTAGAACCGGGCCAGAATCTTAACGGGTCAAACTTCATTTTTAACAACAAAAACAGAAAACATCAGCGGTGGCGCACTTTGATGATGTCACAGTTACCTTTGAAGTTGGGTCTGATCCGAGCGTCGTAGCCGGACGTCCGGCCCATCAGTTTGTCCAGGAAGTCAGACGGAGACATCGGAGCATGCCGGGTCCTCGCAGGACTGTCCATGTCCTTACAGAGACCCATGCTGTCCCAGAGACAAAGACAGACAGAGGTCAGGCTGGTTGTCCTCCTGATGGTCCACCCTGACTGGAGGAACCTCTGCTGGTTCTGATGGACACAAACCGATCCTCAGTCGGGTTTGTTCTGATTGTCCTTCTGGTTTGTTATGAATAAATAAAAACTTAAACGTTAAAATGATAATCTGTAAGAATCAGAGCATCAGATTATTTAATCTAAGCCTCACGTCGAATGTAAATTAAGATTAAAGACAGAAAATATTCTCCATCTGTTCAGACTCATTTAAACCCACAGCTGCAAGTCTGGGTTTGGATCAGAACCACCAACGTCTGGTTCTGCCTCATTCACAGGCCGACCTCTCCTGCAGCAGCAGGTCAGCTGTAGCAGCAGAGCGGTTCTAAATGTCAACATGAAGCCCGGCGGTTCTGAACCTCCTCCTGGTTCTGTTTGTTTGACAGAACGGACCTCTGAGCTCCAAACTCACGTTTCTGCCACCACGTCCAGCCGGTGTTTCAGGATCACCGAGCTTCATGCTGACATTTGGACCAGCTCCGGTTCAGCCCAGCAGGACTTCACCGTGAACCGTCTGCAGAGTGGTTCTGTCGGGTCGTTGACCCGTTCAGAACACGTCACAGCCCAATAATCTGAAACCAGACGGGGAGCGACAGCTGCAGGAGGAATTACACAGATTCAGGAAAAAACTGAAGTCAAATAAAGTTCATGATGATGTCATCAAGACGGGCCAGAACCTGCTCCAGAACCACTTCATCTGACTCAAACTGACCTGAAGCGCTGAGACTAACGGGTTCTGCTGCTTCCACAGAACCTCAGAGGTCCAGGATCAGGAGCTGCTGATGACCTGATCCTCATCAGGTGTGTCTGCTGGTGTGTGTTGACACAACACCAAGATGGAAAGACGTCAGCAATGACCTCAGAGAAGCAGCCCGTCGACCTGCCTGGACCAGCAGGTCAAAGGTCATTACTCAGAGGCGCCTGAATTCAGTTCCGTGTCCCGTCTCCTGTTCCTGTGAGCAGGTCCGGAGACGAGGACACACAGGTCTCCGCAGGAGGTTCTGCAGAAACATTCTGGTCCGGTCTGGTCCGGTGAACCTCGGAGACCGACATGACTCGTCACATCATGTCTGCCGAGCCATCACCGGTGCGGTTCGACAGGATCGGGCTCTGAACTCACCGTCATGTCCATGGAACCGTCTCTAACTTTATTCTTCCTGAAGGTCCAATCGGACCTGAAAGGACCCACAACCAGTGGACTGGAAGAAAACTGGACCCGCTCCAGCAGGAACCTGAAGGTTCATGAACTCATGCGAGACACCAGGGGACGGGTTGGACTCAAACTGGGAGGGTCTGTCCTAAATGGAAGAGTTGGACCCGTGACTGGGCCGATCCACAGTCAGGAAGAAGGTGGTCTCAGACCATGGAGCTGTCTTCACTAATGTCCCAATGAGGACGTGAGGACACTCAGAAGAACAAAGACAGTCCTCAGAGTGGGTTTGTCGAGCTGCTCTAATCAGAACTTTTCCTTCAGAACCAGAAGACAAATGTCTGGATGAATAATGGAGGAGGTTCTGATGTGGAACCAGAACTTCATGCATCTCGACTCGGAGCGCTCCGACAGCAGCTGAATAAATTTAACCAGATTTGTGTCCCGGATTCCTCTGAAGCGGATCGAACCAGCAGCAGAATCTGCAGCAAGAATCAGAACATGAACCCGGTTCTGATGATGTGTGGAGGACAGAACCCGGAGTGGAGCAGAACAACGCAACACATTAAAGAACAGAAATGGGTCAAATGTTTCAGTTTCAATTAATCCGAGACAAAACAACCGATTTAAGGTCATCGGCCATTTGGATCCTCCAGAACCGGGCCATTTTGATACTCCAGAACCCGATCGGACGTGGAGGAGGAGGAACCCAAACACAGCCTAGCATCAGAATAAGGATTAAAAACTGAAGACGCTGCAGAATGAAGAGTCCAGAGACACAAACCAGCAGTGAACAGAGGAAATGTTTTATTCAAAATAAAACAGGAAGTGGTGGATAGTCTTTGACCTAGAAGCCGAAGCCAGTTCCTTCAGCTGCTGAGGTTCTGCAGGAGAACATCCTACAGAACCTCAGAAACATTAAACCAGACAAACGTCACCTCCTGTGAAAATACAGCGTCAACGCTTACAGCTGAAGGGTTTTAGCTGCAAGCAGTTGAAGAAGCTGAAAGCAGCTGAAGAGGTTTCATCTCTGAACTGAGCTGAAGTTGAACAGCTGACGTTGCTGAAAGCAGCAGAAAAACAGCTGAAAAGTCTAGAAAAGTTTTTTTAAAAAGGCAGAGAGATGCTTGAAAATAGTTAAAACAATAAAAACCTGAAAGGAGAAGTAAAAGTTGTAAACAGCTCAAAGAGCTGAGCTCCATTCATTTTCTAAGAGACAAACATGGCTGACAAAGCTAAATGTTTCAAAAGTCAGAGCGGGAACATGCTGAAGGAGCCGAAGGTTTCCAGATGTTGAAGCGGGACAAAGGTGTTATGAGCTGAATGTTGGACGATGTTTCCGTTAGATGATAAGTGTTTTCATCAGAAGCCTCCTGACTGACTCGGGTTGACCCGAGTGTTCACGGAGGAGCCGCCTGCTCCCTGCAGCTGAAACTGAAGGCCGCTCGGCTCCGTCCGAGGAGCCGACAGAAACATTTCAGCTCTGATTACCAAACGGTCTGAAGAGCCTCGCAGAGGCTGCCCTGCACATCTGGAGACCTCTGCTTATCCCCTCATTACGTAACTCTGTTATCAGAGCCCCGCAGAGCCGTGCACGCCTCTCTCAGTCCATCATCCCTCTGAAGGGTCTGTGGACGGGTTCATAAAATCATCAGATCCTTCAGGATGAACCGGGAACAGAAACCAGTTTTACAAAAATATGTTGTAGTTTATTTTGAAAAGCTTCATATTCACAATAAAGGTCACCAGGATCCAGAAGACTGAACGGGTCCAGTTCTTCACTGTTATCCAGCTCAATTTATATAAATTCATCGCCTCGTTTTCATTTAAATTCAATTATATTTCATGTTTTACGTGTTTATCTTCATACGAGTGAATTTTTAAAATTAAACTCTCAGGGGTCTGCAACCTGCGGCTCCCGTGCCACGTGTAAGTCCGCGGATCAGACGTCGTCGTCTCCCGGAGCGACCGTAGTCAAGGAGAGGCCGCGGGAGGCGAACCATCAGAACTCCTCCCTCTGCTGCACCTGTCACACGCGTACATGAGCAAAGAAACACGCCCACAAAGTTCTGACCAATCACACGAGACTCGGTTCTGATTGGAGGCAATGGGACAGGGCATCAGCGGGTGACACACGGAAGATACGCATTACGCAACGTTTGACACGCAGGCGTAAGACTAGAGGAACAAACGAGCCTTTAGCCTCGTCTTTCTGACAACACGAACAAGACATTTAGTTTGTTTGGTTTTTAGAGGTTTTAATCTTTTTTCATTTAAAAATCCAATAAATCACAAATTCATATCCAACAAAACGGTCTAAGATTTATGCACATTTCAGATTCACGTTTTATTCCTTCAAAGAGACTCGATTAATTTCTCCACAGACGAAAGGACTCGCCTGCAGAGTTCAGGTTTTTATTCAGTTTTTGTCTTCTTTAAATAAACACGTTCAGTTGTACCAAATGGCCCATGAGCCACCAGTTGATAATCACAGCAGGTGTTGAGGCTCAGGAAACGTTTTACACCGAGCGAAGAGGCAGAGACGGTTTTAGACCCCCCTGTTCAGTCCTGGTTTTGGTACCTGGCCTGATGGGGGCACAAGGACCCCCACCACCACCACCACCACCACCTGGGTGGGTGTGGCTCCACTGCTGGGTTGGGAAGGAGACCCTACCTGGACTGGAGGAGTTCAGGTTTCTGGGAGTAGTAATGGGTGCGTTGCTCCGGTTTGCCGTGGTGAAGAAGGAGCTGAAAGACAAAGCTTTCCTCACCTGTGGTCAGGAGGTTTGGATCAGAACCAGATCCTGGATCCAAGCAGCACCCCTCTGTGGGTTGGTCCGGCTTAGATAAGGTGAGGAGCTCCCGTAGGTGGAGCTTGGAGTATAGCTCCTCCTCCTCAGAAGGAGGCAGCTGAGGAGGTCCATCTGGTTGGGACTCCTCCTGGTGTTTGAGGGTTTTTTGGGAGGAGACCCTGAGCAGACCCAGAACTCCCTGGTTCCCCTGATGAACCAGGTTTTACAGAACCGTCTACCTGCAGAGTTCTGATTGTCTGAAATTATAAATGAAGCAGCTCGACTTTGATCTTTAAATGAAAGATTAACTCTGATGTCCTGAAAAGTTCTGAAGGTTCTGCTCAGAACCGGCAGCCGACACCAGCTCCAGGTTCACAAATGATTAATGCTGATGGAGTCAACAACAACAAAAACCCATTTCCATCTGTCCCGAGGTGAAAGTGTTCTCGTGTTCTGCTGAAACGAACAGAACTTCCATCTTTAATCTGCCTCTGAACAGAACAAACGAGCCGGGCCCGGCTCTCGTGTTGGACCTAAAATCTGTTCAACACAGCGTGCAGTAAACACAGCCGGAGCCGTCAGAGGGAAACAGTCATCATCTGGAACCGCAGAGTCCAACCTCCGCTCGGAACATGAGGTCAGCCGGCGCCGCGGGGCACCGGAGCGGTACCTCCACACAGATTCAGTTCTGCATAATGCATCAGAGCATAACGCTGCGGTTCTGATGGGGACACGCAGACAGCAGCTGACCCGCAGAACCCACAGGCTGTCAGCCGAGCCGCTCCGGTCGGTTCTGGCTCAGAGGGAGCAAACCGGAGCGTGGCGGCGGCGATCCATAGGTGGCGCTGTAAGCTTCGTGGCTGCAGGTGGTTCTGATCAGAGGATCAGCCATGTTTGTTTGTTTCTCTTCTACGAACAGCTGATTGATCACATGACCAGTCAAAGTTAAAACATGGAGTTCATAACAGGAAGTCTGAGGGTCTGAAACTGAG